TGGCATTCAGTTTTGACTGAATGGTTGGATACCTGGGTTATGGTATCGATTTTTTGATTTCGTGGTGGCGAACGCACCTCTTGATGAAATAGAGTAGTTACGGATCTCTCAGATGGGCTCGAGCGCAAGAGGAGAGATAGAGCCACAATGAGCACTCAAGATGTATGGGTGCGGGTACTATGCTAGGTGTTGCATAGTTGGTTATTTGTACAAATCTATTGAAGTTGCTTTGGCAGAAAGAGCTACTATGAACAGTCAATTTAGTAGTACAAGTGAAAGATGCGCAGGTAACGCGTATCGCTGAACTGGAGATTAAGGATTGCAAAAGACATGAACAACAAGTGTGTGGAAACGCTGGGAAGTTATTCAAGAGTGCAAAGGGCAAATGCTGATAAGTTCAAGATAGTTTAGGGGAAACTCTAAGCAAAGAAAATTAGGAAGGTTGACCAGACAAATGAAGAGTTTTCTATTGCTCAAATGACCGGTCGTGCGAGGTGATGCATGTTAGTCAAGGGCATCCTTGGCAGGTGGTGCAGGACATCCAATCAGGGGGTGTCAGATATCTTGGTTGCACAAGTTTAAGCATAACAGGTGAAGACATCCGAGACAGGAAGCATAGAAGAGATCTATGGAAAATAGGAACATAGGCTCTCTCCAAATCAGAGAGTGGTGTAAGTTGAGTTGAGGATGTAAGGTTCCCTCCTCCTCTTGTATCTCTGGTATGTTATCTCTAACTTCAGGGGATGTAAACGTCTCAGTGAGGAGATGCAGACTATGTTGAAATTTGGGCGTGACAAGATTAACAGCAGTGTGTGCAGTGGATCACCTCGCATGGGTTGAGGAGGTGATTTGTTGGATATCTCACCCCATGTGAGGAGCTCCAATGGAGATCCCACTTTCTCTACCCAATAAAAGGTGGCTCTCCCACTCCACTAACCCACTAGCTGGTGGAAGAGGTAGGTGGTAACCAATGAGACTCTCCCTCATTTGTGTATAAATGAGGTAAGGATGAGGAGCTGAAGATAGTAGTGAGAAAACCAAAGAGTGAGAGCAAAGCAAGAGAGAATTAGAGATTTGAGGTAGAGAGACTGTCTCTCTTGGTATGAGAGAGAGAGACGGGTGAGTGGATAAGTAAAGATAGTGTGAGCTCCTCCTTTATTGTAATCTTTTTGTAATCTCTCCATTGTTATAGTAATAACTGGTCACTCTCCCGTGGACGTAGGCTTTAAGGCTGAACCACGTTAAATATGGTGTCTCATTGGGGGTGTGTGTGTTTTTCTACTTGGTATAATTTCTGGAAGGTCTTGGGCAGAATCCCCGATCTCCAACAAAAATAAGGGTTCCTAAACATCTGTGTCAGTTCTTAAACATCTCTACCAAGTCTTCATCGTTTCATTCTTTCTCACACTCTCTCTCTCTAGAATATGTATCAATGGAGGAGATGAGGGTTTTGTCAACAGAGAATAGGCTTTTTTTTTCTTTTCTTTTTCTTCAAGGCAGATCTAGATCCAAATTTGGTGATAGTATTGTTGTTGTTGTTCTTGTTATTGAGATTCTCTAGCTTATTTTCATATTTGTGGTCTATTATTTATTCTTGTAAAACTGTAGATGAGATTGAACAGACCGGGGTGGTTGTTGATCTAGATCTAGTGTTGATGTGGTTGAAGATGAAGATTCAATAGATCTGTTCATCTCTCTCTCTTTTTCTTTTTTTTTTTCTTTTTTTCTAATAGTTGTTCTTATTATTGTTGTTGTTGTTGTTGTTGTTGATGATGATGAAGACTGAGTGATCTAGATCTAGTGTTGATGTGGTTGAAGATGAAGATTCAATAGATCTGTTCATCTCTTTCTCTCTCTCTCTTTTTCTTTCTTTTTTTCTAATAGTTGTTCTTATTATTGTTGTTGTTGTTGTTGTTGTTGATGATGATGAAGACTGAGATGATTTTAATTTTTTTTTTTTTGTTTGTTAATGATGGTAATGAAACATGTTGCAACAGATAGGGGGAGAGAGAGAGAGAGAGAGAGACAATAAAGATTTGAATAGATAGACTTTTGTTTTGGCTTGGTATTTCAATAGATAGAAAACAAAATTAAATAAAGATTTTTTTAACAGATAGAGAGAGAAAAGAGAGGCGGAGAGAGAAACAAATAGAGAAAGAAAAGAGACCTGGATTGAGGCATAGATGGAGAGAGAAAGTTTGAAAATACAGTGAATTTGAATAGATAAAAAAAATTAATTATAAAAATTCAACAAATAATTTTTTTTTCAACAAATAGGTTAAAATAATTCAACAAATAAAAAAAATTGAACAGGCAAACAAAAAATTTGAACAAATAGATATAAATTTGAACAGATAGATAATGAAAAGGCAAACAGATAAAAAAATCAATAGATAAATTAATGGATAAAATTGTAAACAAAATATCTTTCAAAATCAATAAAAGAATTTCTCACCAAACTATTTCACAAATGGTGGACCTCTCACCAACAAAAAATATGCACTTGACCTAATATCTTATACCCTCATTTGATTGAATTAATCACTAATTTTTTCAAGTTAAAATCAGAATGTCAAAGTCTATACATTTTAAATTTTTTTTATATTTATATTTTTAAATGGGATAAATTACAAATACCTTTTTGCCAATTTTTTTTATTTAACATAATTAATTAAAAAAGTAAAATTTCTAATTGTTTTCCTATATAATAATAAAATTACCTGAATTATTAATTAAAATAATTTTTTGTAATCATTAAAAACTATTAATTAATTTGATTTATTAATAAAATGGATTGTTTGTCATGAAAATAAAAACTTCAAGAGATGTGATGTAATTTTCAGAACTACATGAGATAATTTGTATTTTAAGAAAATCTTATGAAATGTATTTGTAATTTACCCTTTTAAATAATAAATTATTTTTAGTTTTCTGCATCATACTTTATAATGAAATTTTTTCTCCAACTACTCTTTACTTTTAGAAAGAATGGAAATACCATCCATCTATAACATCATAAAATATATACATTAGAGTTTACAAGTTGATGACCACTTAGCCGAATGAGATAGGTTAGAAATTTACAATTTAAGTTATATAATTTATCTATCATGATATAAAAGGAAAATTGGGTTATAAATGATTGAGTTTATACCAAATAAAAAACAGTCACATAACTTGCCATAAGTATAATTATGAGATTTAAATTATAGATTTGAGTTTGTTTGGCTTGGATTTTCAGAATTTACATTTTTGAAAATTGAAAATTTTTATTTTCGTATTTTTTTTGTTTTTACTGAATTTTTTAAAATATTCTAAGTATTTTTTTAATTTTTAAATACATCTAACATAAATACACTTAAAAAGTATAATATTTGTGAAAAAAAATCTTTAAAAAATTCACTAAATACCAAAATTACAAAAAAAAAAAAGAAGAAGAGAATTCAGTACATTTTTCATATTCTTGTGTATTTATTGATTTTTTAAAATATTTTTTTACAAATATTTTACTTTTTAGCTATATCTAAATAAGGTATATTTAAAAAAGTAAAAAAAAAATGCTTAAAATTTAAAAAATATTCACTAAAAATAAAAATAAAAACAAAAACAAAAAAATCAATTTTTAAAAAATTGAAACCAAACACACTTACTGATTTCTCTTTCCAAATTCAAGTTGTTAATGAACAAGACATTGATTTCTAAACTGCCTCATTTGGAAAGCCACTAAATAAGTTGCTTATTGGTTTATTTGAATCACATCACTTATTTATTTTTTGTACATTTTTTTATAATAAACAAAAAAAGTCATTTATAAATCATACCCAAAACAATCTATATGCAAGATGAGATGATAGACACTCAAAAAGATTAGGCTAAGTTGGGGAATCACATAAAATAATTAAAAAGTAAAAAAATAACTATAAAAAAAAGTCAACTCCCCTGTCTATTTTTTTTTGGCATATTTTTTCATAAAAAAAAAATAAAAAAAACCAACTAATATAGGTCTTTAGGATAAATGTAAAAAATCTTAAAATGATTATACAATCTATCTGGAAGGAAACTTAAAACCATTAAGGTCAAGTTTGGCATAACCTAAATAATACAAAAAGTCAAAAAGTCACTATCTTATTTAAGTCACATCATCTTATTTAAATCACATCACTTCTCTAACACATCACATCAAATCCAACCCAAACCCAACCCATATAAGCCAATAAGTCAAAAAGTGTATTTTTTTAGAACATCCCAAACCAACCCTAAACATTTTACATAAAAGTACGCATAATAAAAAATGTATAATTTTTTAGGACAATTACATTTTAGTCTCCAAAATATTAACTTTATGTCATTTTGATCTCTAATATTTAAACTGTATCAATTTAATTTTTAATACACAAAAAGTGGTTCAATTTAATTTTCAATCTAACTCTGTTGGTAGATGTCATTAAAATCAATAATAAATGTAAAAATTTACTTTAAGAAAATTACAAATTTTAACCCTAAAAGTATATGATGTGTCATATAAGTATAAATTCACTTAAACAAATAATATTTTGTAAATCCCTAAAAGTATATGATGTGTCATATAAGTATAAATTCACTTAAACAAATAATATTTTTAATTTACAAAATATGTGATTTAGGTCAGTTTTATATATCAAATTACATATTTATTGTTAACTTTTATTGACGAATTTTAGTTGAGAGACCAAATTAAAACACTTTTTTTTATAAATATTAAGAATCAAATTAATATGATTTAAATATTAATGACCTAAATTATATATATTAGGAATTAAATTAACATAATTTAAACAGAAACATATACTTCCAAAAATAAAAAATTAATTAACCTTAGGTAATTTTTTAAAGTTACATTTGACTAAAAAGGGAAGGTACAATATTTAAATTAATTTATTTAAAGCTACAATATTTATATTAATTTATTTACTAATATATTCCCTTTCCATTTTCAATTGCACACCGATAAATTGCGACAAAGCAAACATATCCTCTATTCCTTTTTATCATCATCTTCAGATCCCCTTATGCTCTCTCTCTCTCACTCTCTCTCTCTCTTCTCAACAGCACCATTTCTATTTCCATTACTTGTAGGGCTCACAACTCAAAACCCTAAACAAAGAATTTCAATTTCCATCAAACCAGAATCGAAATCAAATAATGCTCAAACTCTGAGCTACGGCTTCAAATCGATACCTGGGTCGGTGAACCACCATGGGTGCTTGTACCTCCAAACCCTCCACACTGACCGGTAATGATAACGATATTCCGGACAAGGATAACGCTATTCCTGTTAGAGACACCGAAAACTCTGAAATTCAGCAGAGGAAGCAAGATGAAGTGGAGGTAGGTAAGAAATCACCCTTCTTTCCCTTTTATAGCCCTAGTCCGGCGCACTACTTCTTCTCCAAGAAGTCTCCAGCGAATGCGAGCTCCAATTCGACGCCGAAGCGGTTTTTCAAGCTGCCCTTCCCGCCGCCGTCGCCGGCGAAGCATATTAGGGCTGCGCTGGCCAGGAGGCACGGGTCCGTGAAGCCGAACGAGGCGGCCATTCCGGAGGGGAATGAGGCGGAGGGCGGTGGCGCTGGGCTCGATAGGAGTTTCGGTTTCTCGAAGCATTTCGGCAACAAGTATGAGCTCGGAGAGGAGGTTGGGAGGGGGCATTTTGGGTATACATGCAAGGCCAAGTTCAAGAAGGGCGAGCTTAAGGGACAAGAAGTGGCGGTCAAGGTCATCCAAAAAGTCAAGGTTCGTTTTTTTCTTTTTCTTTTTCTTTTTCTTTTCCTTTTTTCCACTCAATCTCTCTCTCTCTCTCTCTCTCTCTGTCTCTCTCTCTCTCTATATATATATATCTTGTGAATTAGTGAAATTTTCGATTCTATGATCTGTGTGATTTTGTATTTGTTGGTGTTGAGTTTTAGCTGATTGCTTTTGGCCATGTAGAGATCACATCTGTAGGCAGAGATGAATCTTAGTCATTTGATGAAAATCCAAATGTGTTCTCTTTTAATTATAATCAGAATGTTTGCTGATCTGAATTCTTCAAGCAGGGTGTTGATTTGTAATTGCTAAGTTCTGATGAGATAAGGCAACAGGAAGAAAAGTAAGCTTGTAATTGCTTCTAATACATTGACATGATTTTCTGGTATTGGGCAGTTTGCTGATTGGCTAAATTGATAGTGGGTTAGTTCTTAGTAGAAATCAGCGTGAAGATTTGACAGTGTAAATGGATTGCAAAGCAAGGGAAGGGGAAGAATTTGGAGGGTTGTGAGGGGAGAATCTTTTTCACCTTCCAAATTTTGGAGGAAAGTAGGGGAGGTGAAATGCTTGTTGTTAAAGATATTTTTATTACCAAATATACCCTTAACTTGTGAGGATAGGTATAGAGTGTTTTTTACAAGTCTTACCTTTTTCATTTTGCACCTCCCTTTCATTGTCTAACCAAACAAGAGGGGAAAAAAAAATGATCTTCCTTCCCCTTGGTTGCTTAATTATTATACCTCTCTTCCCTTCCACTTCCTTCTTTTTCCCTCATAATCTACACTTCCCTTCGCTACTGTTACAGTGTTTCTAAATGTAACTTTAGGTCTATTATAACTTGATGTAATTTGGATTAAGGCATTGTTAAATTGAGTTGAATTGGATCCAACAGGAACATTCGTTGTACTTTTTGTATTTTTTTTCTTCATAGTGTTTAGAATTTGAAGTAATTTGGGTTAAGGCATAGTTAAGTTGAGTTGAATTGGATCCAAGGGAACAATCCTCGTGTTTTCTTGTCTTTCTTCCAAGCGTGTGTTGTTTCAAATTGTGATATTGTTTTAAATTTTAATGCATATATATGATATATTTCTTCATTAAAAGTTCTTTTGATGAAAAAAAATATTCCAATGGAAAACATATCAAGTGGCCTTGCACTCTAGAACTTCTGATCAGGTTAAGGTTATTACACAGATAAATTGATAGTCCAGAGTTTTTATGTAGAACTTTCTTTATCATGCATACGAGGGGAGTTGCTTGAAGATTCATGCCTAGGTGTACCTGGATTCCCACTCCATCAACAGTAGGCGGGTCTTGGGAGTATGGGCTTTTGTTCATGGATTTACAGTCAGTTGTAGCAATGCCAATATGTCTGTTCTTAATTCTTTTGAACATGAATTTTGTATGGTGAACAATAGTTTATGAAGCACATATGTTTCTACAATGGAGTTGTATCCATATTGTATCCTCTACCTGTCATCTAACCACCACACCCACTCCCTCTACCACCTCATCTCCATGATCCAGCCATGATATGGCAACAATGACGGTGCAATTAGCCTTTCTTTTTAATTTTCTTCCTTGGTCTCAATCTCTTCTTGGTTGGCATCTAGGAAAAAAATTAACCAGTTATCAATTTATCTCCATTTGTTTGTACTTTGTATATGTGGTTTTATACAAAACAAACATGGAAATGGTCTATTAGTCCAAGGATTATTCATCCTTAGGATATCAGTTTTAGGATTTGTACTCATATGTTGGGGGGGGGGGGGGGGGGGATAATATGTGGAATTTTATATGCTTCTTGTCGTCCCTTCTTTTTAATTAAAAGACTCACCATTGTCTTTATAATTTTAAAAATATAAAAGATATGTCATTTTAAATATATTTTCTATATAAATTTTTTTTTGGAAATCATTTTTTTTTTAAAATCTTTACACGGTTATGTTTAATTTTTTTTTTAAATTTTGTGGGGGTGGGAAGGTAAGAAATTGGTGGATGTATCAAATTACCTTGCATTACTTTTTGACATTTTGGTTGAAACTTGTTGACTTCTGTTTATATGGTTACCTTTGTTCTGTTGTATGAAGCCTTTTGATTGATGTTGTACATAATCCCTTTTTTATCCGTTTGATGTATGATTCTCTTATACTTATTTTTCTATAAATTTTCCATTCTTATCTGTGCAGAGGCATTATAAATTTTAATTGATATTTTACTAGATTATCGTGCATGTTAGTTTCCTTCTTTCAATTGTTTTTGTTTTATCTTTGTTGCTAATTCTGATTTATTATTCTTGTAACTAGATGACCACTGCCATAGCCATTGAGGACGTAAGAAGGGAAGTGAAAATTTTGAGAGCTTTAACAGGGCATAACAATCTAGTCCAATTTTATGATGCATTTGAAGACCATGAAAACGTCTATATAGTGATGGAGTAAGCTTTGATCTTGACACTGCTTTGAACTTCATCTCATCATATTGGATTACACATTGTGACTGTGTTGAACCTGATTAGCAATGATACATTTGCAGCTGTTGTAACCAACGTAATTGAGACGCACATGATTTTTCTTCTTTAGCTAAAAGCTCCATTTTAATAACTAAATGGGATTTTATGCTTATATCAATTTGAAGCTGTGCACTTGTTCTGAGTTTATGTCTCGGCTTTGATGAATTGTTATGAATTTCAGGTTATGTGAAGGTGGAGAACTTTTGGATAGAATACTGTCAAGGTATATTTTGGGTGTAAGCTATGCTTAATTTTTCTATCTTCCTAGTTTTGGATGCTATGGTGGATAAGAAAAGGGGGAATTTTTAGTGAATGAGACTGGGCAGTAGTTAAACATGTGTTTAGTAGTTTCTTTTATTCTGCAGGGGTGGCAAATACACAGAAGATGATGCAAAGGTTGTCTTGATTCAAATACTGAATGTTGTTTCTTTTTGCCATCTCCAAGGTGTGGTGCACCGCGATCTTAAGCCGGAGGTAGGAGATATTCTAAAGTTGACATTACGTAACTGGCATTTGTTTTGATTGTGACATGTATTAGTCACTGTCTTTAGCTTCTGGATGGGGGAAGGTGAATGGTTTTTTTAATTTGGGGGGTATCTTGGGCAAGCAATTGAAGGATTTTAAGGAAAAAAACTGAGAGTTTGGCTTTGAAGCATAGGTACTTCGAAAAACATGTCGTACCCATACCAGGTACTTACTGGCATATGCTACCTCATATGGTACTTTTGCATACGTATCGGGCACACGAAACACATATCCAAATTTTTAATTTTTAATTTTTAGTGTACTCAGATGTATCTAGTGTATACCCAAGCCGTACCGAACCTTAGTTGAAATAATATTTTCTTCTACTACAGAGATAAAATCACTAGACTCTTTTATTTATTTTTTTTATTTTTAGTTTTATACTTAGCATGATTTTAAAATTAAACTATGGTTTGTAAGTTATTTAATATATTGACATTTAATTTTGATTTATATATTTACTTTTGACATTAAATGTTAATTATAGGTTGGATCTTAACAGATTAAACCATTTAATTAATTTTTGTATTACTCTAAATTAAAAATAAATATTTTTACAAGCATACCAAGCCCAAGCCGTACCCGTACTTTACTTTTTTTAGATTTTACCTTATTGACGTACGCGAATCGTACCAGTACCTGTACCCGTGCTTTATAGGAGTTTGGTAATAACAGTGACAGTAGGTCTTCATCATAAATGTTCTAGTGCTTAAAATTGTTACTATTGGGTAGAGCCATAGAGGAGATTGGTGCTCATGACATGATGTTAGTTAATGATTAAGATATCTATTTCAGCAGTGTTTGTAGTAATGATTCCATTTTTTTTTTAATGTTCTTTTATTTTTATATTGTTGGTCTCATCTAACTCTACTGTGTTGCTGGATCAGAATTTCTTGTTTACATCTAAGGATGAAAACTCACAACTAAAGGCCATAGATTTTGGGTTGTCAGATTTTGTGAAGCCAGGTTTGTCCTTACTTCTTCATAATGTATGTAATGCTGCTGTCTATTTGTTTAAAATGGTCAATTGTTTTAACATGCCAACTTGTTTGCAGATGAAAGGCTTAATGACATAGTTGGGAGCGCATACTATGTGGCACCAGAAGTGCTGCATAGGTCTTACAGTACAGAGGCTGATGTCTGGAGTATAGGCGTTATAGCATATATTCTACTGTGTGGCAGCCGTCCATTTTGGGCTCGAACTGAATCTGGGATCTTTCGGGCTGTTCTAAAAGCTGATCCAAGCTTTGATGAACCACCGTGGCCTTCTCTATCTTCTGAGGCGAAGGACTTTGTCAAGCGCTTGTTGTGCAAGGACCCACGGAAAAGAATGACAGCTGCCAGAGCCTTAAGTGAGTGTCTCAAACCCTATCAAAAGTTATGGGTTTTCTGTAGTTAATATTTCTGAAGCACTACTTAAAAATCTCCCCTTGTAGGTCATCCATGGATTAGAAATGACAATGATATAATAGTCACCCTGGATATATTAATCTTCAAACTCATGAAGGCTTATATGCGTTCATCTGCTCTTCGGAAAGCTGCTTTGCGGGTGCGTATATCCTGTGCTACAGGAATGATAATTTTCTGTTATTCTTTATTGCCTGTGTCTGCATGAATCCATGTTGGGGATTCCTTTTGACGCTGCTACGCACTTTTCTTATTAGCTTCACTTTTCCTTTTGGAAGTCCAAAACTTGTTTGAAAAGCAGTGTAAAGGGATCAGCACCTGCCTTGATGATTTCCATATGCTTCTGTGTGGTTTTATCTGTAGTTTATTACTTTATTGTGTTTGGTTACAAAAGAGACTCCTAATATGAGGTCCATTGGATGCAACTTAGTTTTGGTTTCTGGCTGCACAAGGATATTGGTGAACACTACCATTTTTCTTTGTTAACGTTGTCATAGTCGTAATAGTCTATCATGACAACACAAATAACCTTCTGACTGAACAATTTTAAGTCCCTTCATGTTTTGTCTTTTCTTTTCTTGATTATGATTCCTAGTATTAGGATTTCACATTGCTATGCAACAACTTTGTTAATTGGCATCGGAATTCTTTAATTGTATTGAATCAAAGATATTGGAACAGAATATAACAACGTATGCTTTCTTAGTATGCAATAGGCTATATATTTAGCTAGCTACTATTTGCATGAAAAGTACTTTCAAAAGTGACACTTTGTGTTCCTTTCAAATCTGAATTGAAACTATTGTTTGCTCTTCCTTTTTGGCATCCTTTTATAACAAATTGAGCTTTTTTCTTCCTTTCATGCATGCTTCTTTCTTATGTTTAGTTTGGGAAAATAATGTGTAAAGAAACTTAAATAAGTTTGTTCCAGGAATGAAATTCTGAAGGAATGGTTTTTTATTGGAATTATTGTTCGGTTAGTCATTTTTTATGATCGAACAACCAGGTTGTCATAAATTTTTAGTGGAAATCATTGTTGAAATGATCCTTTGAATACTGTTCATCAATTGCTTTTACACGGAAGTTTTTAAACCTGCAGAGGATGGTTGAATTGTTTCTTAGATTTCAGTAAATTGCATTCTCAAATACTTGAAATATTGCTGCAAGGTCCTGAAGTATTAGTAAGTTGAAAATGCAAGTAATCTGAAAGCATACACACCCACTTGAGCCTGGAAGTGTAGTGTATAGAGGTTGCAGTTTTTTGTTTTTCTTTCCCCTGATATACAGCTTTGTACATGGGCTGCATCCCCTTTGATGCTTCTCCTATTTATACATATTTGTACCTATAAAAAATAAATAATGTACTCAGTGGGCCCCGTGAGATGTAGTTTTGACCACTCTAAGAAATTAAGCTTTCTGAAGTTATGTTTCGACATTATCTTTCTGGTGGTTCTTAATTTGCATTTGTTTGTTTTCTATTTAGCTGGCAGCTTTCAGTTGACATGTTGTATTCTTTCTATGAACATTCTAATAGTTCATTCCCTTTTTTTTTACCTTTGCTGTTATTTGGCAGGCATTAGCGAAAACATTAACAGTGGATGAGCTATTTTATTTGAAGGAACAGTATGCCCTATTGGAGCCAAACAAAAATGGCACCATAAGCTTGGACAGTATTAAAGCGGTTGGTTAAAGCAAGACTATTTAAATTTCTCTACCACTTTTATGTGAATGTTGCTCTCAAATACTTTTGATTTGGTTAGGCCTTGACGAAAAATGCAACGGATGCTATGAAGGAGTCTCGTGTCCTTGAATTTCTAGCATCAGTATGTGCTTTGATTGTTATGCCGGATAGTGGTAATTAATTATGTTTTTCTGTATGGCGTTTTATCATTTGTAGTGATGAGCTGTTTTCTCTTCTTTTGTGATAGCTTAATGCACTTCAGTACAGAAGGATGGATTTTGAGGAATTCTGTGCGGCTGCATTAAGTGTTCATCAACTTGAGGCTCTTGATCGATGGGAGCAACATGCTCGTTGTGCTTATGAACTTTTTGAAAAGGATGGTAACAGGACTATTGTCATCGAGGAACTGGCTTCGGTAAGCTGGTTCATGTTCCTGGGCTCAAATATATATATATATATATATATAATATTTATATATTCTTGATTAAATGCAAAATCAAAGTGTGGGATGCAGTACGTGTTTACATGCATTACTGTAATGTTGTACTTGCCATATTGCAGATGGGAAATGATTTACAAACATAATTTTCACACACCAAAAAAAGAAAAAACTCAACCAAAATGATGTTGCCGTTGCATTCTTGAAATTATAAACCTCAATGATGGGTGTTTTGGTTTGAAATAAAATAACCATAAAATGCCACATCGGTCTGTATGTACATTCTGTATGGATTCGGTTTGTATATTGTCTTTTGAGTTCATCTTGTTAAAGGAAAAATAGACAGATTAATGGTATTTTGGAAATTGTTACAGGAACTAGGCGTTGGCCCATCCGTCCCTGTTCATGCTGTTCTTCATGACTGGATTAGGCACACGGATGGAAAACTGAGTTTCCTTGGGTTTGTCAAGTTGTTGCATGGTGTGTCTAGCCGGTCTCTTGCTAAAGCTCAATAATACTTGTAAGACCATGTTATGTTCCCAATTACTGGTTTCTCTGTGTTACCACGGCCAATAAAAATGTGGGATAAGAAGCGGTTTAAGACACTTCTTAATCCTTCGCGTTTGGAGATTTCCACTATTGTGAAAGATAGCACGGAGCCATTTGTTTCGGGAATGGTATCTCAATCATATCACAAGCTTGTATGCACCGTTCCACTTGGGGAGGTTTATTAGAGTAGCGACTGTAGTGCCATTTCAGCAATGAAGGACAGGAGTGTGTACCATCTGTAAAGTCGTAGTTAGATTTGCCTTCAATTGCAGGTGAGAGTATTTCTCAACTGGTTACGAACATTCATACCGGATTTTTATTTTAAATTTTTGTTGTTTTCTGGCATATTGGACCGGACTTGCATGTCTACAATTGCCTTGTATCATCTGATGTGCTTTATATATATTCTAGTTAAGGAATCTCTGTTCAACTTAGCCATTGTACTCTTGCCACATTCGGGGTTGAATGGGTGCTGTCAAGTTCTATTAAAATGCTTTGGAATGTTGGGGAAGTGATTGTAGGAGGAAATCAAGCTTGGATAGTGGCTCTCCTTTGTCTCATGTGGAAGCTTGTGGAGAGAGAAACAGGTGCATTTTTTTGAATAGTTTTGTATTAGGGAATCCATAAGCTTAAGATCGGTCGATGCATACCTATTATTTTTGGTGTAATGGATTCTCTTTAAAAACCTCTCTTTTTATTGTAGATTTTGAAATTGTTGCTTTTTAAAAAAATAAAATAAAGTAGATTAGATTAGTCATGTAGAAACTAGATGAGGAAGTAGAAGAGCTTTGTGGAAAATTTATGCTGGGGTATATGGGCCTTGCTATAGATGAACTCGATGAAAAGTGGTTGTTGAGTAGCTTTGGAACACCAATTTATTACGTTCATATGGTGTTTCTGGGCAAATATAGTAATAGTCATGAGATGGGTAGAGCCAATTTTAACCCGCTTTGATCTCAGAACACTACATATACATGTCACAGTAGTGCTCTTAAGACTACTTAATGATTCTCTGACTGAATGCTATATATATATTTTGATTGAGAATCTGATAGTTGAGCTAGATTTGAAGATATTGATCTTGGTTTTGAAATTGAGGACTTTCCCTAAATCAAAGCTTTGTAAACATTTTGGTTTATGAATTTCATTTCATCTTGGTTTTGTTTATGCTATTTGTCGTAAGGATTAATTGCATTTTTTACGTTTGTAGTTTGATTCAAATTTTACTTTAGTTTCAAATTGAACAATTTGATCTTTACCCATTAAGTCCAATTTTAACTTGATTTTCTTGTTTCTTTTATGTTGTGTTTGGTTGAGGAATTTGGAGAGGAATTTAGAAATGGAAAGGGAAAAGGTGTGTGAAACTAGGTGAAATATAGGCATGTTTTATTCACATTTTATTTACCTTTTCCATTTTTCTTTCCAAATCCTTCTCCAAATCCCCCAACCAAAAACAGCATTAGTTAATTTTTTCTACATGTCACCTTAGAAAATTGACTAGTATCTTAAAATTATTAATTTTAACTTCAAATTTGAATATGATGATTAAATTGAAATTGGATGAGTGCAGGGACTAAATTATTTAATTTAAAATTATAGGGATTAAAGTGAAATTTGGATCAAATTATAAATGTAAAAAGTGTAATTAACCCTAATCTGAACTATTGAAATTATTTTCAGAACAAAGTGGTAGTGAATGTGGATTGAAATGGAATTATTTATTTACTTTTAAAGCTTTTTATGAAATGTTTACTCCTTTACAATGATGAATGTGGATTGAAATGGAATTATTTATTTACTTTTAAAGCTTTTTATGAAATGTTTACTCCTTTACAATGATGATTCAATTTATAATGTATTTTTTCATAATTTTTTAGTGAACACAAAAATGGGAATGAAGCTTTTGACCTTTTTAGTTTTTTTGGCTAAAATATGAGGTAACTTTTTGGAACAGATTGTTTTAGTAGCTTTTTAATCTTATTTGGAAATAGATTATTTTAGTAACTTTTTGATTTTTTTGACTAAAATATGAGATAAAAAAAAACTTAGTATGTTTGGAATGATTTTTTAATTTTTTTTATAAAAAGATGTGCAAAAAATAAAGAGAAAAGAAATTTTTTGATTTTTTAGTATAGGTTATGGAGTTTTTGATTTTTTTAATAATTTTTTAATTTTTAAACTAAAATTGTTGCACTCCAAATGGGGCCTTATTTCATTCCAGTTCATGTATGTCATCATTTCATTCTGGTTGATTTCAATAAACCAAATGTAAGCTTTTTTCGCTAAGTTGAGACTTTTGTCATGAAATAATGCAAAATATGGAATATTAAAATATTTCAAAAATAAGATTGTTACAACCTAAAACTTTGTATCAATCCAATTGCTTTCCTTTAATAACAACCACTAATCTTTTGTGGCCTTTGTTTGGACGGCCCCTGTGCTGTCTTATTAACGTTATCATGGTCGTTTCTCTTTGCTTTTACTAATTTCGATTGGAAGTTTGATTGTATTTATGTTTGTTTGGTTTTAAGGTTAATCATTGACAGAGTTTGAAGGATGGAAAAAAATAAAAAATAAAAAATCGTGTTATTGATTGGGACGTAAGAGTTATTTTGATTTGATTTTTAAATTATGTAACTGATAGAAAAGGAAAAAGGGAAAAGAGAAAGGGATAGTAAAATGAAAGAAGAAAAAAAAAAAGAAAAAAAAAGGGGGGGGGGGGGGGGGGGGGGACAAATTATATTTGATTTTTCCTGAAATTTTGCCTAATTGCTGAGACTTTTTGTAGTTTCCATATTTATAATAACCTCTCTTATGAAATTATTATTAAGATTTTTCTCCGTTAGAGTATCTCCAATCAACTTAAATTATGTGTTAGAAGTGTTTTTGATGAAAAAAATAAAATAAAAGTGGAACTCAATTGTGTTTTAAAGTGCTGGTTAGTTTAAAAAGTGAATGGGTGTATTTACAATATTATTAAAATATTAGGTCAGAGTATGATTCACTTATATGTATACTAGCTTATCATCTGTGCTATGCACGGAATAATTATAGATATTTATATTTATTTTAAATTTATTTTAATATATAAATTATGTTTTTTAAGATTTTTTTTTATCACTAACCATAATGTATGGGAGAAGTTGAAAAGCGTATTGCAGTAACTATACATGAATTGTATCTATAATTATTTGTATGAGGGGATTTTAAATGCTGATTAAGAGATTTTGACCAAATCAATAATTGCAGGCATGTGGAAAGATATGTGGATTGAAAAAAGTTAATAAATACTGATCAGGGAATTTTGACCAAATCAATAAATGATGAGTTTTTTTTTTTAAATAAAAAATTTAAAAAATTCAGATTGTGATATTGAAGCTCCCATAGGTCTTAGGGGTTAAAAACTCCATTTTGCTTAATATATAGTATAGATATAGATAGATAGATAGATAGATATATCTTTTTATCTTTTTGTGTGGTTTCTATTCGGGTATTTTTTTTTTCAATTTATTTAAGATAGAGTTGTTGGTATCTTTTTTTTTAAAAAATTTAATTTATCTGTGATTTTCATTTGTTTTTAATTATTATTATTTAGGTAAGTTATGATGTGAGTTAGATATGTGATAGACATGTGAGTTTTATTGATTTAAAGTTTATTTAGATAAACTTTAAAGTTTTTTTTTTTAGTTTTTTAGTTTTTTTTGTTATGTTATAATATAATATATAAAATATAGGTAGATATCTACAACTTTAATAGAAAATATTATCTGATTTTTTGGAGAAGAGAAAATGAATGCAAGTTTTAATATTTTTTTTTTGAAAATTTGTGAGAGAGATTAGGAGGGAGTGATTATGAAATATTTTTGTTATTAAATAAATAAATCATCCAATAGTTTTTTTTAATCTATTTTGTAAATTAAAAATCAATAATTTTGGAAAATTGATTAATTTTTTCCATTAAGTGATTTAAAATTTTGATAGATATACATAAAAAAAACTACATAATTATATTATTAAATCATAATTCAAATTTAGATGTTATATCTTTTTGAGATCTATAACTAAATTCTTATCTTTTTTATTTTTATTTTTGTGTGTAACCATAGTATATGTGAGAAATTGAAAAGGGTGTTGCAATAAGTATGAGAGAAGTCAAAAGGGATTGTGGGTTGGGAGAAGTTAATAAATGCTGAGGTTTTTTTTTTAAATCAAAAAATAGAAAATTAGGATTGGCATATTAAAACTCCCACAGGTCTTGAGAGTTAAAAATTTCTTTTTACTTAATATATAGTATAGATACGAAGAGCAAATATTCAAATCTAAATAGGCTCTCCAAAGAGCCCACTGGAGATTTTAGTTATCTGTTAATGTGCACAATCTACTGATGGGACTTATTTTGAGACTAAGGCCTCATTTGGGAACAGGCTAATTTAGTAACTTTTTAGTTATTTGGCTGAAAAAGTAGGTAAAAAAAACTTATATGTTTGGGATGACTTTTTGGGTAATTACGAAAAGATGTGCAAAAAGTAGAGAGAAAAGAAAAATTTTGACTTTTTGATATGAGTTTTTGACTTTTTAACTAAAAAATAACTTTTTAACTTTTTAACTAAAAAAATAAATCTCCAAACGGAGCCTAAAAATGTCAAAGAATATCTGTCGGTTGGTTTATATATTGAAGGGTAAATGACACAATGAGGTTTTACATAAAAGTTAACAAAGATGCATGGATATTTTAGTGATGTTGAACAGAATTTTAAATTGCATTCAATATTTTAAAAAACCATAAGTTTAAACATTATATGAATATTTATAAATAAAATAAAATAAAAACACCTAATTTATAGTTATAAAATACCTAAAAAAATTCCCAGATCAATACACAAACAAATACACACTAGTAATTTCATATAAAAATCCATCATTTGAATTAATGTTTTATTGTTTGAGTTTTAAAATTTTAAAAGAAAAGTTAAAACAAGAGACCTTTATTCATAAATTCCATTTCTATGACTTTTATACCATAAAACCCAAATCATTTTTTATTATTCCATTAGGTTCCATTCAGTGTGGTAAGACCAAAATGCCTTCCTTTCATTTCTCCCATGCATGCTCTATTTTGAAAACTCAGTTGTTCCTATTCTATCACTTCACTCCACAACACATTCATTCCCCCAAAAAAACTCATCGTTGGCACCAAAAAATTCCAAAACCGTAACCCTAGATTTCACATCGCCTCACCACCATTGTCCTCCACTGCTAACGATTTCCGGCCACTGCTTTTCCACATCAACGCATCACAGCGAAGGTTTACATCAAAAGGATTGGGGTTCGTTCTTCCTTGGTTCTCGCCGGCCGTCGATTTATATATCCCATCCACAATGAGGACCAAATGTAAACACCATCCTTCCATCCTCTGTTTTTCAAACAATGATAATATAATCTACTCTCAAATGTATATGTTTATATTACCCCTGTTATTATTATTG